CCACATGTTCTACATACGAGTCCAGTAAACAAAAACCATAGTTCCTTTGGATAGTCTTTCAATATCCTTTAAATTCATGTCATAAAAGATTGTACAAAAAAATACATGGACAAAGCAGCGCATGACTAGTTATCCAGTGGAAGCAGTGGTGCTTGGAGCGTTTGAATCAGGCTAAAAAGGAAAAATTGAACCAGTGGCTAGGAACTGCTCTTGTCAAATATATACATAAATACATGTTTAAAACACAAACTATTGAAAAGATTAGACTCTCTGCTAGTAGTAAATAAGCAAATATTGATAATGTTATGGGAAATGGGAAAGAGGGAATTATTTTTAACAAAATAAGGTTATATACATTTATCTATAAACATAATGTTAATTTTTTTTGGTAGAATGTTAAATTTGAATATATCAAATATATAATGCCCATGTTTCCACATAAATATACTAATAATTTCGTCCTGATTTTTTAAAATAAAAGTATCTTAAAAACAAAGATATCTCTAAAAGAATCTTTTCCATATTGTTTTTTTTTGACTGGATTTTTGTTGTACTACAGCTCTAGGAGGCATGAACCTTGTTTCTGCACCAAACTTTTGCTATATATCAAAACTGCTATCTATTGAATCACCAGAGCTATCAAAAATGGATGCTATCAGAAATATCCATATAGGATAACAAACAGAAATGAAATCATCTGGGAAGAAATAACTCAAATACCAGAATCTAATACTTACCTCCATGCCCATCATAAACACCAAAGAATGATGTGGTACTGTCTAGATCTGGATATGCTGCATGCTATAGAAAAAAACACATAAGCAAGGATAATAACAGAATATAATACAAAATAAAGCTAAACAGATATCAAGATAATGCAAGTTCAAATTAAAAGTCTGGTTAAAACAATAACTACTTGAACATAAGGGTACAAATTGGGTACCCAATTTGAAGGATTTCAACTGCATCAATCCTGGGACCTTAAACTGGCTTCCTCAAAAACTAATACATGCTCAACCAAGGCCTACCCAAGTTACAACCAAACTTGAACAACATGTGTGGTTATAAAAGCATCCAGAGATAGTCCTAATCCTAACACCATAGAGTAAGCAACATGCTGATACGTGCAGAAGTATAGAATGCTTAATGGCACTAACATCATTTTGCCAGACGAAGTTAGGAACTAGAACTAAAATGAAGATCTAGAGAGAAAGCTTAATGTAGAAAATCCATGATAATTCAAACCTTTCTAAAACTTTCCATTGCATAAATATATATAAATAAAGGAAAGAAAAAATAATGGAATTAACTTCAAATGCTTAATGACATATTTTGAAGTTTCTGACAGTACAGCTTTCATCTAAAGAAAATAAAGTTTTGCCTTAAGAGTTTTACAAAAAGCATTTGGTTAACTTCCTATTGTAAACCCAGGTCAATCGATCCCCAAAAGGCCATAAACGTATTCACTTCATATAAGGTGATCCTGATGGCGGATCATGTCCTTGTGGTACGAGGCAAAGAAAAGGAAATAGATGCATAATGTCCCCCTTTTAGCCTTTAGAGAATCCAATATTATAAGGGAAAACTGCCATGATCACAAGGAACAAATTTTATGGTCTGTTGTTCCATCACAATGACAATATTAAAGTTTGGTTTCTTTTTTAGAATATGGCAAGAAAAAATGGTATGAGTAGTAAATAGTGATGCTTTTACTTCAAAACATAATGACTTACAGCCACATTAACTATAGATATGAAAGTTAATAGTGAAAACACAAAAATGAAGAATGATATTTTGAGATGGGAGTGACTATCTAGAAAACATCAATTAATGCGTTACAAAGACTAAACACTTTAAACTAAAACCAACTAAATGGTGATTTACCACAAAGGTTTATCTGTTCCATCAACAATTTACAAGATTACAACTCAAATAAAATAAAATAAATCAGAACTGCTTAGTATATTGACAAGGTTCATAAATCAGGAACTCATAAGAAGACAGCAACAGACAGAAAGGAAGAATAAGAAGAAGATCAGAAATGAAGTTGCAAGCCTCCACAGGCACTGAGGGTGGCTCAGTAGGTACGTTAGTTGGTTTTCTCCAGCAGATGTGCGGATTCGAATCCCGCTAGCTACCACTGACTTTGGAAGAGAGTTATTATTAGTGTGATGCTGTGCTATTCCCAAAAAAAAAAGAGGAAAAAAGAATTATGGCCCCTATGAGGGATTCAGGCATACGATCAAATACCAAAAAAAAAAAAAAAAGAAAAATCACAAGATAGAAGATCTATGAAATGTAATGTAGACTGATAATATGAGATTACACAACTTTCTGGAAACCCACACTACCCTGTATACTGATGTAGCTAATCTATTCTGAAGGGAGATTTGTGTAGGGCTGTCAAGGGGTCGGTTCTGGGTCGGAACCAGGTAGAACTGGTCCCGGAACCGATAGGAGAACTCATGGACCTGGAACCGACCCAGACCCTATAGGGTCTGTAATTCTGGAGCCAGAATCAAACCGATTTTGATATGTATGCTAATAATACCCCTGCTAAAAATGCAATAAAAACCCTGCAAAAACCTAAGATGCAACAAAAACCCTGCTAAAAAAGGAAACTGATAAAAAATAATAATAACTGTATTGATGTGTGTGTGGGGGTGTGGGTGGGTCGGGTTGGGTCCAAATCAGTTCGGGACAAGGTGGACCCGGTTTCAACCTGGTAATACTCGGAAAATTTTAAGAACCGGAACCGACCCATCGGAACAAGTTCTGGAACCAGAACCGCCCCAATCGGTCCGGTTCCATCAGGTCTATCAGGTCTGACCCGACCCATTGACAGCCCTAGATTTGTGTTCCCAGTAACACCAGTGGTTTACTCCCTACATTAACTAACCACTGAAAAATGTTTTATTTTATCAATTAAAAAATAAATACTTTGATGAGTCAATTCCTTACTTCTATGGGGTTCTTGGTTCTGGTAAGTTCAGTGGTTGTCAATTGGACCGGATTTGGTCCAATATGAGCACATTACAGATGGATCAGATCCAATCCAATCCGGTGAATACTTTGGACCATTTTGGACTGGTCCAATTCAATGTCTAGACCGTCCAATATGTTCAAATTGGTTTTAATTTAGACTGGTTCCAACCCAAACCTGGTTCATTGACACCTGTATTCTTATCTTCTATCAATGGACCAAATATTGGTTCAATCCAATCCAATCCATTACAGATGGACTGGGTCCAATCCAATCCAATAAATGCTTTGGACCACTAAGTTTGGACTGGTCCAATTCAATGTCTTATTGGCCTGTCCAGTCCGTCCAAATTGATTTTGATTTGGATGGGGTCTAACCCAAAACCAGTCCATTGACATCCCTAGTCAGAGGCATAACATCAGGACCCAGCCATCTTAACATAGGAGAATTCTAGGTTGAAGAAATAAGTCTCAGTAGTCTACAAGAAAACACTGGTAATTCCACACATGGAAATATGGTAGGAAATTATAGAAATCAATGAAAATCTAATACTTTCACTCACTAATTTTGATCTTATCAGTAGCTATAAATCAATAAGGCCTAAAGACCAGTCAATTAGGAAGGCATCCCTGGAAAGGACATTCCAAAAACAAGGAATCATCATAGCCCTTAAATTATGGGCTATGGCAGTATTCCTTCTTACATCCGATGTTTCAAAGCCAACAATTGGACTCCCTTGACTAATGTTTACACACAAATGGGGGAGATCGTTGCTAACATTTTTAATATAAGCATTACTTAAATCAAAATATTCAGCAAGTATAGCATAATGAGAATATGAATTATTAAAACATAGGAATTGTCAATAATTTGCAGTAAGTTATAATTTCCCCAACTAACCGATCGGAGAAAACCCAATATTTTAAACAGTGGTTCAGCACTCCTTAACCGTTTAATTAATCAAACAAGATTTACTCCTCCCTTGACTAATGTTTTCAATTTTGCATCCAAATTGATTTTACCCACAACAATTGAACCAATTTACTCAAACAAATTGAAACCAAACTTTTTTTATTTAATTTTTTTTGATAGATATGAAACCAAACTTGTTAAGACCAAGGATTTCACCCTCTAAACACATTAGACAAATCCAAGTTACGTTCACTTACAAAAATCAGCAAGAACAACAAAAATATCTATTGCCGAACTAGAAAGTAGGAAAGAAAGAACTAGAAAGGTAGGTTTCATTGAGTATACTCACTGCGTCTTCCATGGTTGCGCGCCACCCTTGCATGGAAGACAAGCCATATTTAAGTTTGCTATTCTCACCGTCTTCAGAAAATTTTTCAGTTTTGGGACTACTGAGATATATCCCCATTCCTTCCTGGATCTAAGAAAAAGTGTTATTAACTATCAGATTAATAGAACGATGCAATTAAAAAGAAAAATAACCAATGCAAAAAGAACAAGATGATTACCCTCTGCAAGGTTATCTTATGTGACCAGTGGATTAATTCAAGAGTACTCAACTGTGCATCTTGTCAAATTAAAACGAGTGTTATCCTATCAAATTCCACTAATATGGAATCTCCAGACTACAGATTCTCAGCAGGAATGACCAAAGACTAGAAACTGCTTCAAACTAGCTATAACCAAAGCCCAAAAATGAAACCCAAATTCAATCCCTGAAAGCAAACCCAAGTAGGAAATTTCAACTTAGAGGGAGAAAGAGGCTTGCAGAACCGATCTAAGTTCTAAATGTCTCCCAAAACTAAATTTCCAAACATCAGATTGACTAAAATACTGGAAACCCGGAAGACAGTTCTTGATAATATTAATAAAATAATAGGAATTTTTATCTTAAAAATTAAAAACAAAAGCGGAAGTTCTAGGGTTCCTGATGCACTCACGTGCCAGGGCGTGCGACCGTACACTGTTCTAATCAGACCCAACTGAGAGAAACACCAAGTGGGTAAAATAGAGATGGTTGTTCCTGCGACTGCAACAAAAACCCAGACGATTCTTGCTCGTTCTTGACTGGAGAAAATAACAAGTTGTAACTAATTGAGACAAGAATTCAGACTGATCAAAGACGCAGAAAGATAAAAAAGATTGCAGAGCAAAGAGAGATAGAGAGATCGCCAGTCGGTGAAATCACAGCAGACGCCAGCGGCCAGTCAGAGGGAGAAAGAGAGAATTTCGGAGTATTGGAATTGGACCTTTCAATTGACGCCTAGAGAACTATTATCTTGCTTTCTCACTTGCTCGCTCATTCTTCTTGTGCTTGGTTTGAATAGCAAATTAGTAATTCACATTCTTCGTTACATATTACATGAAAATACAATTTGTTTGATTTATTCTCTTAATTTGAAATTTCTACCGATGTGTTTTCTATGTATACGAAAAGATCTTAGATTTCCAGTTACAATAAGCATTAAATAAAGGGCAGACTTTCTGAATTCAGACTACGCATTATTCATCTCATTCCATATCTGCCGTACACGTGGCAAATATGTAGACCTGTCACCAATCAAGTCCTTATCCATGTGGGTCATGTAGTGCACAACTCAAAACCAATGTTTTTGAACTGTCGTTGATTCAGATGGTCAAACGGAAAATCATTTCCGTTCAGACAACCGGTTTCGTTTTATTCCAAACTCGATCCTTGGTAAAAAACTATTGAATTAGTCAATGATTCGTTAATCCGGATGGTTTGACCGCTGAACCATTTGACTCGAAGAATGGTTCACGGTTTATTACTTCTAACAAATTAGAACAAGAAAAAAGAGACTCAGATATGAGATCTACTAGAGAGAGAAAGAGATCAGTTGACAGATGTCTGAGACAATGAGAGAGATCTAAGAGATCTCACGTTTAGAGATCTGGGAGAGCAGTCTAGACAACATATTTGCAAGAGAGAGAGAGAGAGAGAGTGAAATCTAAGATTGAGAGAAATATCAAATCTACTTCGTTGTCGACATTCTTGCCGTTGTAGTTTGCCATTGCCGTTGCAACCTGCAAGTGACCTCCTCTTCTTCTTCTTCTTCTTCTTCTTCTTCTTCTTCTTCTTCTTCTTCTTCTTCTTCTCCTCTCCCTCTCTCTCTCTCTCTCTCTCTCTCTTCTTTTTCTTCTAAACTCTCTAGCCACCGACAGCTTATCAAATCTCTCTCATCCTCAAATGGTCAAACCTTACTTCTCTTATATTTATATGCATCTTACCCTAATATTCCAAACTAATGAGTAAGATGATATATCACCTATTAAAATATTTAAATTGTTTGACTTAGGCAGTCGAACCGCTGACTTGGAAACCGATGGCCAAAACAAATCCTTTTCCAGGTTAGTTTTTAAAACCTTGCCCCCACATGTAGGTTGCGTTTGGAATTAAAGTAAATCAAGAATAGCGTAAAAATTTATACTGGTTCGATTTTGTTCGCATTTAGAAGGAGAGTGTAATCATGATTGATGTAAAACTCCACTCTGGTTCAGTTTTGCATACGTTTGGATGGAGTGGAGTTTTATGTCGACAATCGATGTAAAACCTATCAAACGTTTATCGATGTAAAACTTTACACTCTTCACCCATCACATTTTTCAAAAAGCAACAACCACTTTTATGGTTCACTGTAAAACGTCATCGATGTACTTTTACACTAATTCCAAACATAGCCAATAATACACGTGATATGGGAAATATACGATATCAAAAAAACTTCTAACTAGTCAGCGTGAATCATAAACGTGATAGCCAATTAGATGCCATTTATACCGAGGGCTGGCTCGTTGGTGTATTAGCTGGTTTGTTCCAGGCTTCTAGCATTAATGTAGAATCTAATCTCGCAACCAACACTTTAGGGAAAAAGGGGTCAAAATTCATGGGATTAGAATTAGGGTATATCTGAATTCGATCCGACATTGTTAAAATCTGATAATATTTGATCGAATCTCATAAGTAGACCTGTTCATGGGCCGGGCTTTGGGCCTGACTTACACTGTGTYGGGCTGGGCCCCATTCAAAATTTGGCAAAAGCTAAGCTCGAGTCCGGCCCATGAACAGGTCTACTCATAAGTATGGATTCGAATTTGAATCGGGTGATGAAGTCAGATTTTCGGATCCAATCCAATCTGATTTAAATTTCTTAAGAAATAATAAATTATTAAAAGAAAAAATAAAATATAATCATTTAAAAATACAATATTTTCATAGTATATATACATGTTTTTATAAAAAAAATAATTAATATAATAAATATATAAATAATATATTTATAAATAAATAAATAACATATATATTTATATATATCGAATCAGATTTTCTTGAATCAGATAGGGGATGATCTGAAACCAATCCGATTTCTGATCAGATCCTATTTTATAATCCGATCCTATCCAAAGATCCGAACAGGAGAGATATGAATCCAACAAAATAGGATTGGATCTTGGATCGGATTGGAATCGGATCCATTTGCACCCCTAGTATTTCCCGCATTATAGATTTTCCCTTTTGTATGGATTTGCATTTATATTTGTWTTCTTCCCAAACAATACCTCAGAGAAAATCAGAAATAGATCATTTTCTTCTCTCTTCGTTAATGTATGAAAGGAAGATCCTATAAATATTCGAGTCTACTTTCATGGGTCGTAGCTAGGTTTAGAGGATCCAAGACCCATGACCAAACCATCTCAAATATGGTGGACCATGGCAATGAGTTCTCAGGTTTAGCCCAGAAAAAAGCAGTTAGACCGGTAGTAGCACCATTTGTCTACCATTGTAATATAGGGCCAACTCTTTTCTTGTCCACATAACTTGGCTTCTCTAAAGCTAAGTATATTTGGGATCATCAATGTCATTGATAATGTTAGTGGTAGGTCTCATTATTCCATTATTTGAAAGCATATTTACTGATCCTGTTTCAAAATCATAAACATGTCCATTATTTTGAAAAATTGGGCCTTTGCTTGGTCCAATAATAAAATCTTACCTGATATCATGAGAAATGGGGCTTGAGTCTGAAAGCAACCATTTGTGCAAGAAAATGCTGAAAGCAACCATTTGTGCAAGAAAATGCTGAAAGTTAGGTTCATATCTAATCCATCCCTCCTAGGACTCTAGATCTAAAGGACTAATATTGGGTAATTGACCCTTTTTTCCATTAGGAAAATGTGGATTTCCTAATGTGGTGGTAAAATGGATTCTTAAACATTCCCTTGAAAACATTGAAACTTTCAAAATCCCAATGAAAGTACCAACTAGTTTAAGTAGGTAAGGTCTCTAGCAGGCTGCAGCAAAGACTTGGATCAAATCCCACCTTTTCCTAGTTTGGGGGATATCACTTGGGTTGACAAATATTGGTATGGGGTGTTGTGTAGCCCCATGTAACAAAAATAAAAAGTTGTTTAGCACCATTTGTGTACCATTGTAATATGAAAGCATATTTATTGATCTTGTTCTAAAATCACAAACGTCCATTCTTACTGTCAAAAAAAAAAAAAAAAAAGAACATGTCCATTCTTGAAAAAACTAAGGCCATTGATTGGTAAAGAAAATGGGCTTGAGTCTGAAAGCATCCATGTTATTGCAAGAAAATGCTGAAAGTTAGGTTAATATCCAATCCATCCCTCTTACAACTTTGGATAGAGAGGACCAAGATTGGGTAATGGTACCCTTTCTTCCTTTGGGAGAAAATGGATTTGCTGATGTGGTGATGATATGGATTCCTATTGGGGCAAATACTTTCTTTTTCTTGTTTTTTATTTTGGCTACATAAGGTTATATAATGGGGGTAGCATGCCCCTGTATTGATATCCTCCAACCTGGGTGATATCCCTTTTTCCACCAAGAGAAAGTGAATTTGCTAATGTGGTGGTGATATGGCTTCTCATTAGGGCAAACAACTTTTTTTTTTTTATATTATTATTTTATATTTTTGCTACATGGGGCTACATAATGAGACATAACATGCCCCCATACCAATATCCCCCAACTTGTGTAATGACCTTTTTTTTCCATGGGAGAAAGTGGATTTGCTAATGTGGTGGTAATATGGATTCTTATTTGTGGCATAGAACTTTCTTTTATTTATTTATTTTTTAGTTTTGCTACATGAGGCTATACCTACCACAGGGGGTTGCATGTCCCCATACCGATATCCCCCAATCTAGATAATGACCTTATTTTCCATTGTGAGAAAATAGGTTTGCTAATGTTATGGTGATATAGATTCTTTTTTGGAGCAAACAACTTYCTTTTATTTTTTATTTTTGCTACATGAGAGACTATACAATGAGGAGTAGCATGCCCCCATACCGATAACTTCAACTTGGATAATGACTAATTTTTTCCACTAAGACAATGGATTTGCTAATTTGGTGGTGATATGGATTCTTATTTGGGCAAACGGCCTTATTTATTTATTTTTATTTTTGATATATAGGACTACACAACGGGGTAGCATGCCCTTGTACTGATATCCCCCAACCTAGATAATGACATTTTTTCTTTTCCATCAAGAGATAATGATTCGTTAAAAGTGGTGGTGATGTGAATTCTTATTGCGGCAAACAACTTTCTTTTATTTATTTATTTTTTATTTTTGCTATATGGGGCTACACAATAGGGGGGAGTACACCCTCATTCCAATATCCCCTAACCTTGCTAATGACTCATTTTTCCACTAGGAGAAAATGGATTTGCTAATGTGATGGTGATATGCATTCTTATTGGGGCAAAAAACTTTATTTTATTTATTTATTTATTTTTATTTTTTCTACATGGGTCTATATAACAAGGGGTAGCACACACCCATATTGATATCCTCCAACATGAGTAGACCTGTTCATGGGTCGGGCTTTGGGTTTGGCTTTACACTATGTCGGTTTCAGGTTTCGGGCTAGACCCATTGAAATTTTGGCAAAAACCAAGCCCAAACCCGACCCATGAACAGGTCTAAACATGAGTAATGGCTCTTTCTTTCCACTAGGAGAGAATTAATTTGCTAGTATTTTGGTGATATGGATTCTTATTGGGCAAATGACTTATTTATTTATTTTTATTTTTTTCTATATGAGAGTACCCAATACGGGGTAGCATTCCTCCATACCAATATCCCTTAACCTTGGTAATGATTCATTTTTCCACTAGGAAAAAGTGAATTTACTAATGTGGTGGTGATATGGATTCATATTAGAGTAAATAGCTTTATTTTATTTATTTATTTTTTGTTTTCGCTATATGGGGCTACATAGAGATGTAAAGTGGGTTGTGTCATAACAGCATAAYATGATTTTGCTGGGTTGCCTATGCCTTAACGGGTCGTGTCATGCTGATATGTGGGCCTAAGTGGGCCATGCTTTCTTGGCCTGAAACCCCTATAAGGTCAGGCCTAGCATGGCCC